AAGTGACCATTCTGATGGCTTACCTTAGGGATTCCCCGAAGGCGTGATTAATACTATGCCAAGCCCGAACCCTTTTACGTTGGAGGCTCCGTCCATAAATAAGGTCCAAACCCTCGATGTCGATTTTGACACCATTACTGCCTCTTTGGTTGCTAGAGGCAGCAATCCCGGACTGAAATTGGCCACAAAGTCAGCCAAGACTTGTGACTTAATCGCATTCCTTGATTTATATTCTATGTCAAACTCACTCATCTCGACGGCCCATTTAGCCAACCTACCTAAGAGTTCGGGTTGTGAAGGATGTTCCGTAGAGGAAAAGTGGTCACCACAGTTATCGGGTGACATTGGAAGTAGGGCCTCAGTTTTCAAGCGGCGACTACGTGAGCTAAGGCCAGCTTCTCCAAATGCGGGTAGCGCGTTTATGCTCCCGTTAATATTTTACTAACGTAATAAATAGGAAATTGCATACCTTCGTCCTCACGGACTAAAACTGCACTTACCGCTACTTTCGAGACTGCGAGGTAGACTAATAGTGTTTCACCTTCCTTTGGTTTAGAAAGTAATAGAGGAATTGATAAGTACCTTTTCAAATATCTCAAAGCCTTCTAGTATTCCGGGGTCCATTCGAAGCTGTTTTTCTTTTTGAGCTGTACGAAGAAACGATGACGTTTTTCTGATGATCGGAAAATGAACCTGCTCAAAGCTGCCAATCTCCCCGTGAGCCTTTGGACTTCTTTCATGCTTGACAACTGGTCCGGGATGTCTTCGATGGCCTTGATCTTATTGGGGTTTACCTCAATCCCCCTTTGCGATACTAAAAATCCTAGGAACTTGCCAGAGCTGACCCCGAACGCGCATTTCTCGGGGTTAAGCTTCATGTTATGCTTTCTTAGGATGTCAAAAGTTTCTTGCAGATGCTTAAGGTCATCACCTGCATTCAAAGACTTAATGAGCATATCTTCTATATGAACTTCCATAGTTTTTCCTATATTTTTTCAAACATCTTGTTTATGAGCCGCTGATAAGTGGCTCCGGCGTTCTTCAACCCAAAGGACATCACATTATAGTAATATGTGCCGAAATTCGTTATGAACGAAGTATTTTTTTGACCTTCCGGGTTCATCTTAATTTGGTTGTACCCGGAATAAGCATTGAGGAAACTCATTAACTCATGCCCGGCCATTGCATCGATCATTTAATCGATGTTTGGCAGTGGGAACGGTCTTTCGGACACGCCTTATTCAAGTCCTTATAATCTACACACATGCAAAATTTATCGTTCTTTTTAGGAAGTACGACTACATTAGCTAGCTAGTATGGATAATTTACCTCTCGGATTGAAATGATATCAAGTAAGCGAGTTACCTCTTCTTTGGCGAATTTATTCCTGGCCTTCACAATAGGGCGTTTCTTTTGTCTTATCGGAAGTATTTTGGGATCCAGACTTAATTTGTGTACGGCTACCTCCATCGGGATACCTGTCATATCCGCATTCGACCATGCAAAACAATCAGCATTAGATTTAAGAAATTCAATAAAGCCAAACCTGAGCTCGGGGTGCAGTCCTGTACCCAGGTGGAACTTCCTTTCTAAGAATTCTTCGAACAATGCAACATGTTCGAGTTCTTCCGCCGTGGATTTTGTCGCTTCCGTCTCTTCTGGTACCTGGAATTACCTTAGCACCTGGTAGGATTCCGATGCTTCTACCCCCGGCTAACTTCATTTGATTTGGGAGCGGGCGACGGTTCCTGTAGTTGCTATGCCACGTGCTCCTTCTCTTTGCTACGGAGATCGAAATAGCATTTATCTCCTTTGCCGCCGGTTGGTCGCCCCTTATCTATTTAATTCCTTCGGGCTTTGGGAATTTCAGCAACTGATGATACGTTGATGGTACATCTCTCATCTTGTGTAATCATGGTCTTCCCAGAATAATATTATATCTAATATCGCCATCTACCACTTCAAAAAGAGTCATTCGCTCCTTCGACGTTCGTGGGCAACAAAATCTCTCCTCGGGTTGTCACGCTCGCGAGGTTGAATCTGGCAAAGAGTTTTGTGGCCGGAATGATGCTTCCGGTGAGTTTAGCTTGCTCCAATATTCTCCATTGTATGATATTACCAGTGCGTCGTTGTGCAGTAACAGCAATCCGTCTGCGTCCTCCTCCGTGAAAGTGATGTCATATTCGGCAACTTCCCAGAGTCTCTTGTTATGATTTATTGATACTTTCGTCTTTTTTCCCGCCGAGAAGTTGACCCCATTGATTTTGTTTCCCCCGAAGATCATGTTGATCGTCTGGCGCGGGGGATTTTCCCCTGCTTTCGAGGGTTCCACATTGTCCCGGTTGCGACCATAGTTGTTTTTAGCCCGGTCACTTAAGAATTCTCTGAGATGACCATTCTTCAATAGTGTCGCCACTTCTTCTCGGAGATGTCGGCAGTCCCCAATCAAGTGTCCATTCGTCCCGCTGTATTCACACTACAAGTTGGGATCCCTCTGGCTGGATCAGATCTCATTGGCTTCGAAAATCATGCTTCCTTGATGTTTCTCATAGCTGATACCAATTTTACTACGCTAACATTGAAATTGTATTCAGATAGCCTGGGGTAGGAAGGATCCCGCGTACCTGACGCTTCCTTGTCCTGCAATGATCTATTGTTCTGACTGCGATCAGTCCTTCTGTCGGTCGCGAATCTATCTACTGACCGGAAACCTCTGTTGCGGCCTTCGGTCCGTTCGTAGGGCAAAACCGGCCCCTCAAAGATCATTTGTCCGTGTCGAAGTCGTCTTTTGATTTTTCTTTATTCTTCTCCCTTCCCTTTGCCGATGATGGGAAACAGGCCTGATCATCTTCGATCCTTATCTTTGACTCGTATCGATTGTGGACATCCGCCTAAGTTGTTGCTTGGAATTCAAGTAAACTTTCCTTCAGTTTCCGGGAAGCGTCTGAACTTCTCGGATTCAGTCCCTTGGTGAATGCTTCAGCCGCCCATTCGTTTGGAATAGCCGGGAGCAACATCCTTTCCTTTTGGACCTGGGTAACGAACTCCTGCAGCAACTCAGATTCTCCTTGTGCAATTCTAAATATGTCGGCCTTTCGGGACTGCACCTTTCTGGCCCCAGCATGAGCTTTAATAAAAGAATCTGCGGGCATCTCAAAGGAATCTATGGAATGTTCGGTAACAGTGAATACCACGTCAAGGCTTCCCTCCTGAGAGTCTCTCAAAATTTTGTCAGCAAAATAGATTCAATCTCGTGAGGAGTTAAATCATTCCCCTTTACCGTCGTTGTATAGGTGATAATATGCTCCTGAGGGTCTGAAGTCCCATCATACTTCGGTACGTCGGGCATTTTAAACCGCTTCGGAATCAATTCTGGTGCCGCACTTGGTTTGTACGACATTTGAGTATACTTCTTTGAGTCCGGTCCTTTCAGCACCGGTGGTGCGCCCGGGATTTGGTCCATGCGGGCGTTCACTTCTCTCATAAATCCTAAAAGTTCGTTCTTGAAAGGATCGTTTTTATTATTGGGGCCGGATCCACTCCCCCCAGCTCCATCAGAACCAACCTCGTCCCTCGGGGTGTTGTCATCGACCCTCTGTGTTGTTTGATTTGCGGGTGCGCCGGGAAGAACTGGATCTCGTCTGTTCGCGTCATTGGAAGCCCTCGATAACGCCTGCTTCAACTTCGTCATAACCTTATCCTGCCGTGTGAGGTGGCCTAGAATGATCGCTTATTGCTCTTGTAGGACCCTTACCGCATCAACAACATGCTCTTCTTCAGCATCATCAGGAGTTTCCTCCCGAACATGTTGCGGGTATCACCTGTGGTGGCCCGGCGTGGCATCGTTCCCCTCATTGTGGGTGTCACTAATTGAATCATCGAAATGAGGCTGGTCTCCTCGAACCTCAGGATTGTGTGTGTTGTCAACATCGTTATCTGCCATTTCTTATGACTTTTTCTAAGACAAATAATCAAAAAATGTTAGTAAAAAAGGCAATGATCACCTTAATTACACGGTTATCGAGGCCCCACGGTGGGCACCATAGTGTTTACCCGAAAACGACACAGTTAAATTTATACGTGGTTTCTAGACAAGTGAATTAATTCGATCCTGAAATAATAAGATAATTAAAGAAATATGTGATACTTAGCCTTGATATGAAGATGAAATAGCAGAAATAAAAATTCCGGTAGCGAGGCTTCCGGGCGCAACAGTAATAAGAACCAAAAGCAAGAAGATAAAATTGTACAGAGGTTTGAATAGATTATACTATTAGTTTTTCAGAAAATTCCCCCTTACAATGATCATAGAGCTCTCTATTTATAACTTCTTCTAGGGAATAAGGTCCTAGGATCGTGCCCCTTCTTTAATGTCAATTATGAGGGTCATTGATGGAGGTGTAACGGTGAACATAAATGATAATTTTTTTTGTAACAGGCAGTGCATTCAATGCTGTGGAATATTTTTCATGCCACCGGGCGAAGGGTATTTATTGACTCTTTATGAGTGTCATTCTTTCCGGTGCCAAACGGGATAATTGCCTTCGGTTCCACGTGTCATTCTTTTAAGCGGCCACCTGTCATAACATATTTTACTCTCTACAAATACCTATCAAATTTACACGAATTACAAAATTTTCTACAAGAATACTGCAGCAATATTGGATTACATAAACATGTAATTATAGTACTAAACTTTCCAACACATGCTAAATATTAATTTTACTGCGTATATGGTTTATTCCAATACAAGAAGGTAATAATAAAATGCTCATAATAAATGACTTTCAAAAGTAGGGGGGAGTTCCAGAATGTGGAATTTGGCTGATTTTATTATTTTACTAATGTGTAAATTTTATGAGTATTTCAAATATTTGCAAAATGAATAAATAAAATACGGTAATAATTGTCAGTTTAGATTGAATTCGTAAAATGCAAAATGTAATTTTGTATAATTAACGTATCTCCTTCGTAAGCGGACATGAATAGTTGTTCCGGAGGTGGCCAAATAAGCTGATGTATCAGTCGAAGAAGAATAACTTTACCGGAGAAATTGCAATTGGCTTGTTAGTCGCATTTGAAGAACACGACTTATAAATCCCATTGGTCCCCTAACCGAACGAGACTTGTATATAAGTCGATGGAATAAGGAAGGTGTGAGGGCAGTGTTGGCTGCCATGGAAGGAGCTCAAGATCAACAACAGCAACAGCCGCCCAGGGCGGTGGAGGGCCTGAACCCCGCCGTTCAACAGCAACTGAACCTGGAATCCGTCAAAACTCGAGCCATTAGTCTCTTCAAGGCTATTTCTCGCATCCTCGAAGACTTCGACGCCATCGCTCGCACCAATGCTGTCCCCAAATGGTTCTCTCCTCTTTATTTTCTTCTATTATTTAAAACAGTAGGAGGAAATACAAAAATGATCTGCTTATACATGTCCATTATCACAGTTGAATGAGTGTACCCCTTCACTCTCTAGCACTTTTATATTATTCAAACCCCTTGTAAAAAAGAATTAAATGAAAATCCAACCTAAGATAGACTTGCACATTGGTTAGTAGAAGGAATGATGTATAAGAAGGTTGGCTTGCACATTTCATATTGATTTCCTTTTTGGTATCTTGTTATACTGCTGATTTCTGTTTTCCATGTTATTTGGAAAATGGAATCCGAATTTTCCACGAGATAAATAAAGCCAAATTTATTTACATGAAATCTGTTTAACTAATTTGGATCTCTTTAGAAATTGAGATGAAGTATTTTACAGTTGATACTTGATGGTATATCCTTAAGAATTACCAATCAAAAAAAGAAAGAGGTTTTTGGAAGTATCTAAAACTCATGCATGATTTCCAGCTTATTCCTCAAACATGTTAATCATTAGTTTTAATAAATCCTTTTTGTCAGGCAAGATATTCTGGGGCAATTTTCTATGGTGAATCTCGAGCTTTTTAACATTGTTGAAGATATTAAGAAGGTTTCCAAGGCTTTCGTTGTACACCCCAAGAATGTAAATGCTGAGAATGCTGCAAGTACGGATTTCTTCACTCACACTGGGTTACTTTGTAAAGTTGGACTTTTTGTTGTCCTTTTTTAAATATACATGTGACCCACTGATACTTGTCGTTGCGTATAAGCAAGTATATAGACTGTCTAGAAGAAAGTGGATCACCAAGAAAGTTGATGTCTTACTAATTCTCTTCTCTTGGATGCTACCTAAGGGTATATACATATTTAGTTTGACTGCTAAGTGACTCTTTATTTGACATTTTTACTTATTTCTGACTTGCTGTGGATAGGTTGATATACATGTGTGACTAACTAGATAGCATGAGGGTCAGGTACTATTGCTATCACTTCGGTTGTCATGTGGTGAGATTGTTTGAGGATAATTGATTGATCAATCAACGATGCCCAATCCCAAATTATTTGTGGTATTGTTTGAGCATCAAATCTTGTCAAATTTGCGAAAAGGTTAAAGAAAGAAAGAAGCAGATAGTTTTTGGGCTGTGGCTATGTGATATTTGTGTTGACAGAAAATCCGGAAGATACTTTCTGTCATTTGTTAGTTGCAAATACTTTTCCATGCAGTTCTACCTGTTATGCTGTCATCAAAGCTGCTGCCAGAGATGGAAGTTGAAGATAATGCCAAAAGGGAGCAATTACTACACAGCATGCAAAACCTATCAGTAGCATCCCAAATTGAGAAGTTGAAGGTGGCAAACTCTGCAGATGCTGTTCTTATGTTTGTCTATCTGTGTGGCATTCTAAGATTCCTATAAATAGCAGGTTAGAATTGATATGATTGGAGCAGCATGTGAAAGTGCTGAGAAGGTCATAGCTGATACCCGCAAGGCCTACTTTGGAACCAGACAAGGGCCAACACTGCTTCCAACTATTGACAAGGCACAAGCAGCAAAAATTCAGGAACAAGAAAGTTTACTTCGAACCGCAGTAAATCACGGTGAAGGTGATAATCTTGTGTCGTGAGTCCTTTGCCTAAAAAGATACTTTTTTTTTCCTCTCAGCATTTGTTATGCATGAGAAATTGAGGCTTAAGATTCTTGGACCCCAATGGTCCCTCTGTTGATGTGTATTCTACTTAAACTAAAAGAAAGAGAGAGAAGGATTCTTGCAAACTATCATATCCGTTGAGTGCCTTGTTTATCAGTAAATTGTACATGTTCTCCGTTGAAGCATTGATACAGTATAGGAAGGGTGAAAATTTCAAGTCAAATGATTCTATATGCTGCTGCAATGCATCATAACATTTATGTACAAATTCATCCGCCACGTGTCTAGTGTATTTGTAGCATCTCTTCGGTGCTGTTTGGAGGTACACTGGTTTATGACTTGTTTGATTACATGTATACTCACAGATTTCATGAAACTGGTACTTACACAGGGTTACGTGTACCTGGAGACCAAAGGCATATTACTTCTGCACTTCCTGGTCATTTGGTAGATGTGCTTACAATCACTGACGGGCCCCAGTCTTTTGCTGATTCATCTGGTAATCTATCAACTAATGTTGTCATGCTCTCTCCACTTTATTTCATGAATATTTGACTAGCGAAACTGATGTTACGTTCAAACAGGCACTTATCTGAAGAATACTCCTCCCTTTTCATCGAGCAATGTCAATAGTCAGGGAGCTTTGTTACAGGTCAGATTTCTTATAATTACCTCGTAAATGAGCATTTTGCTCAAGGAATGAAGATAAGATTGTAACACATGAATTTTACTTCCAGATCTTCCTTTAATTTTGTTATTTAAAGGTGTTATGAACAAAGGGACAAATAGTTATTATACAAATATGTTATGCGATCTTTCTGTGAGAAGAGGAGCCTTGGTGAAAAGGTTAGAGTTGCGCCATGTGACTAGGGAGTCACGGGTTTTCGGGTTCAGCCTTGGAAAAGGCCTCTTGCAAGAAATGCAAAGTAAGGTCTAGCCTTCCCTTGTCCCAGCGCATAGCGAGAGCTTAGAGCAACTCTCTACCTTTTTTGGTTTTCTGTATGGTTCTACTTATTTTTACTTGTTCCAGGGAGGGGATTAATTTTTTTTGGGGTGTGTTTTCGTTTTGATAGTTGCTAATTACTCAGTCTAGGTATACATACCCCTTTCTATGCGTGCCAACCTGATTTTTTGTTAAGTATGTTCCATAGCACCACACCGAAAAACTTTACATCTTACAATGGGTTTAGATCCATCAATTATGCAAGGAGTTTAAAAGGTTCATTGTAGTGTTTAAAAATCATATACACTTCTTATGTTTAAAAATCATATACACATCAATTGTACCTGGCTCTGCTCCAGCCTACCGAGGACATGATCATTGATAGAAAGGTGTGGAGGTCGAGAATTAGGGTGGTGGGTTGATAGACAGTCTAGACTTTCGCCTTGTCTTACCAGTTATACATGGCTCTGCTCCAGCTTACCGAGGACATGATCATCGATAGAAAGGTGTGGAGGACGAGAATTAGGGTGGTGGGTTGATAGACAGTCTAGAGTTTTGCCTTGTCTTACCGGTAGTAGTAGTACTAGTCGGGTATTTTCCTATTCCTAGTCCCTTGTTTTTATACGGTGTGTCATTATTATCCGTAGGATTGACACTGTTCTTGTAGTTTCGTATCCCTGGATCTCTGTTATTAGTCGTTGTAATATTTGCTTCCATTGTCTTATTACCTTGTTGTTGCTATTGTTTCTCTATTGCTTCATTTTTACTATTCTCGAGCCGAGGGTCTTTCGAAAACAACCTCTCTACCTTCATAAGGCAGGGGTAAGGTCTGCGTACACACTACCCTCCGCAGATCCTACTTGTGGGATTTCACTGGGTTTGTTGTTGTTGTATACACTTCTTATGTTACACTAAATACTCAAACCTGATGTTGATACTGCCAGTTTTTCACTGCTTATTTACATCCTTGGTTGCAAGTGTTAACACCTTTTCTTTTTGGTTGGGGTGAAGCAGGTGGTAAGAATTATTTCCCTCATTTATTTGAATTTAATGGAGGAACCGAAATTAAGTGGACATGTTCGACATGTCTCCATGTTTGCTATTGAATACTTGAGTAACCAGATTGAAACTCTTTACCTCTATACATTGCGCTAAAGAGCATTAGGGAAAAAATGATTAACCTGCAGGAAGCAAATTAATCATATCCTTTTTCCCTTCTTTTCCTTAACTTATACACAACAACAAAATCAGTGTCCCGAAGTTATGTTAATATATTGAGTCCATATCTCGGTAGTAGTTCTTCAATTCTGATATCTATGTGCTGTTGTTGGAGTAGGCTTCTGGAGCACTTCGAGCAGCGGCTTCTCCTAGTGGGACTACTTCCTTTGATACTACAACAGCATCCCCCTTGCCACATGCCAACTCACCTAGGTCTAGTGCTAACATGATGAATACACCATCTCCTCAGCAGCAGAGCCTTCAGCAGCAGCAGCAACAACAGCAGCAGCAGCAACAACAGTTGCAGCAGCAGCAGCAGCAGCTCCAGCAGAGGCAGAAAATAATGCAGTTACCTCAGCATCAACAGCAACTTCTTGCCCAGCAGCAGCTTAGGCAAGCCTCAATGCCAGGACTGGGACAGGTACGGGTTTGTACAACCATCTTGACTGGTTTAAGGTATCTCTTGCGTTATCCTATATGCTTGTTCCTTTTCGTCAATATTTTTTTTGATAATGACCAAATAAGCTAGTTTTTTTACTAACAAAATAATGCGATTACCGCGATTACTAGCTGTATACAAGCGAGAACCGTATAAATAACTTGCTTTTGTTATCATCTTAAAAATCTGCGAGTTGCTTTGTGCTCTGAAAATACGATAAAAATAACAAAGAATGCTGTGTGTAGCATCAGATTTTCCTCTGCTCAAATATCTGTTGTATGCTTTAAGTTGTCCAGTATATCGCATGTTGTATGCCTTCTGCCATTCTTTTTCTGCTTTTGCTGCCTTATCTAAGATCTCGAGCATTCCAAGCTCTCTTTAACATTGTAGATACCTATAAACAGCAGCCCCATAGTTTATCAGCAAAAATACGGTTTATTAATAAATGGGCTACTTCTTATCCCCTTTACACACAAAGGATCAATGCACTATGAGCCCGTTTTGGTTAGCTGATTGAAAGTAGCTGAAAAGTATCAAATGCTGAAAAGCACTTTTGTATGCTGAAACTAACTTTATGAATAATTTGTTATGTGATTGGATAGAAGTGTTGAAACTGATTATAATCAGTTAGTGTATTTGGTAAAAGGTGCTGATAAGCACTTTTTCTATTAGAATGACTGAAAAGTCCTTAAAGATTTGTAAATATGCAAGTATTTTCGCATTAAAAAAGATGAATGACGGAAATAGAATATAAAGATAATTAGGAGTTCTGTTTTAGGAATATTATTTTGGAGATTACAAAAGATATTAGGAACAAAATGGTAAAAGGTTTGGTCAATCTTAAAGTGCTTATAAGCTGAAAAATCTTAAGATAGGGTGACCAACTTATGGCTTTTGGCTGATTTTACCTTAGTGCCTGGCTTATTAGCACTTTTGGTGTTTACCAAACGTGTGGATATGCCAAAAAATGCTTTTAGCTTATAAGCTTAGCCAAATACCCTTTATATCTTCTTTTGTTTCCTCCAATTGTCAGCTGTGAGAATTGAATCCGAGGCAGCTGTTCTCACAAAAGTGCTACTTTTTTGGTCTTTGCTGCCCCAATAGCTGCATTAGGGAATCCCTTGACTCCTTATGACAACCCATAATGGATTTAACGGCGGGAGAGCCTGATGAATCACCTTCCAACTGCGAAACATCTCTCTCATACAAAAGCATAATATGTGATTCTAATTCTTTTCAGGGGGCAGGTTAGTGAAGTTCTTATCTAGATAGTAATTGTTTAGAGTAAGAACTTTCTAATCTTAAAACAAAAACATGACAAATATTGATTTCTGCAAACCAGAAAATTATGGCGAACTGTATTTTTTTGTTTATTTTTGGTGCAATGAAAGCTTTGTAGATGATGCAGAACCTTTACTTGACATGATTGATTCCTTGTAAGATAGAACAGAGGATACTCTGTGTGGTTTTTTGAATTGTAAATATAGCCGCAGCACAGCCTTTATGCTGATATTAATACAATATTACCATTTTCATAAAAAACATTGATTTTCTGCACTCTTAATATGCTTACCATGAACGGATTTTCCAGACCTGAATGTAATCATTATCCTATTTGGTAATAGTATATTAGTTTGTGGACTGAAAGGAATTTGGTGGACAGTATGGAGAGAAAGGAATAGTAGATGTTTTGAGGACAAAAGTAGTTCCATTCAAAGAATTAAGCTGAATTGTTTTTTCTCTTTTCACTTCTGGTGTAAAGAGAACTATATAGATGATGCAGAATCACTTGTAGATTTCTTTCATTCCTTGTAAGATGCAAGGCTCCCTGTAATCTTTGCTTTTTTTCTTTTGAATACCAATACCAACTTGGTGCTGATGAATGTGATGTTACCTTACTTTGAAATAGTATATTAGTTTCTGTAGTTCATTACATTGGACAATATGTAATAACTGAAGAGACTGTTTATTAGCTGCATGGTCAGCCTCAGATGCAGTTCTCTCAGCCACTGGGAGCACAGCAGTTTCAGGGTAGGCAGCTAGCATCTGGTGCCATTCATCATGGTATGGGTCAAAGTCAGCTCAACCAAGGAAATCAGCTGAATCGACATCTAAACCAGTTTTCTAGTCCTATGAATACTGCACTATTCAATTCTGCCCAAAGTACACCTAACTCTCAGATGGTGAGTCATAAATTTCAGTTTTTGTTTTATTTGCTTCTTCATCAGGCAGCCTATCGGTGATGAATTATTTGCTTTTTCCGATAGTTTTGAGTTCAAATTCACTGGATTCTGCTGTTTTCTGCCGATTTAAATTAATATGGGTTTATTCTGTTTTCTTACTGTGGCAAGTTGCAGAAGTGAAGAATGAATTAAATCTTTTAACTGATGTGCTATGTGCTCTTGTTCTATTTCCTGGTAGACTAGATATGTCTAATGAAGTGACATACTTATTCCGCTTGCCTCTTATGTGCATTAGGTGACATTTACTTGTATTTTTCAACAGCATGTTGGTGCAGATGAACTTTCTTTCTAATTCTTACTGTGCATTCTACCAACTAAGACATCTTCATATACAGTTCCGATTGGGTTTAACTGCAAGTTGTTTATCACATGCATTGAGCTGGTATTTAACATACTGAAGATTTCGGGGATCTTTGAAATTGATGGTTCTAACTAAATATTTGTTGCATTGAAGCAGTTACAAAAGTTTTAGAAATTTTTCATATCTATTTGGTTGCAACCATCTCTATCCCTCCGGGGTAGGGGTAAGGTATGCGTACACTCTACCCTCCCCAGACCCCACTAGTGGGATCCTACTGGGTTGTTGTTGTTGTTGTTGGTTGCAACCCAATTTGTCAACTAGGTTTTTCCCTCAGAAGGCACTCATTATTGTACAGCACATGCCATGAGGTTATTGATTAGCTCAGCTGTGTGTCTAGTTCTCCCCTATGACATAGATATAACTAACTTCCTCAGTATACATGCTAATGCAATGCTCATCTGGTCTGTTCTGTGTCATGCTTCATTAGATCTTTTGATTATTTGCTGTTCATTGCTTTATTCTACCATGTTTTATTGATGAACCAGTTCAGTCAGTACGCATCATAATTTCTCAAAGTGTCCTGCATTCTTTTCTTGACCTTAAAATTTCAAATATCCAGTCTGCTTCGAATCTTGTTAAACTTATTCTGTATGGCAGATCTCGAATATGTCAGCAATGATGACATCGCAAACGCTTCTGCCAAGAACGCAGGTGTGTCAAAATGTATTACCTATTGCTTTCGTCATGCATGTTGGAGTTATTAGGTCTATTTATAATTATAGTTCATGACGAGGTGAACTTAGTGCCTTCTCTGGAGCGTAAAGAGCGATCCTGATGTCTTTATTTAGAATGTTGATTGGAATTTTCTATTTATTGGCATTATACACCTCAAATATTTTTTGAGATTCTGTCTTGACTGTGAATTTGCTGTAAATTGATGGGAAGCTACAGCTTCCCTGTGCTCCCAACTTGTGTGAGCTAAGTATAATCTTTTCGTTTGTATTTAACTTACATTTCTTCAAGTTGACTAGATATGATTAAGGATGTATGTTACTCTTTCACATGGTCGAGGACATTTCGTATTTCCAATATGAGAGTTATGCTTTTTGAAAGTCATTTGCATGGGAATAACCTAATTCTTACACGTTTCTTTTGTATTATGTTGCCGATTGTTTTATGGCCTCATATTACTACTTTCAGTTTGGAATGTCTGGTGGAACTCGGAATCTTGCTGCTGCAAACCTGAGTGATCAAAGTAAAAGCGCCTCCTTTGCTCATCTTTCTTATAATTCTGTTCAAATGGATTTTTCTTCCTTTTTAGCCCGACGAGAAAGTGTTGTCAACCAAATAAAAGTGCAGCTTGTTTCTAGTTGCAAAACATTTCCCTAAACAGGGATGTCGTTTTCTCTGCAGTGTTCAATATGGGCGGAAACAATCCTGGTATAATGCCAATCCAACAACAGCAGCAGCATGGCACATTTGGAAACATGTCGCAAAATACACAGAATCTGCAGCAGGGTATGATGCCTCTTCAGAACACACCTCAGACGCACCCTTCCTTTCAGCAACAAAGACCACAGGGCCAACAGTGAAGTGTCTAAAATTAGAAGGAAGAGGATATGCATACCAAACCTCTAACTTGTCCTATTGTTGAGTACTGACCTTGATACAGTATTCCAATGCCAGATTGTTGCAGTAAATTTTTATTACGTAAAACATAACATCTGTTAAAAGAAGATTGTATAATTACATGCTTTGTACACTATTCAGAACTAAATGTAAATCAGAAGGTCATGCCATCAGCACTTGCTATTCCACATCTTTCTTACACATGCCTTGTACCTCGTTCTTTCCTTATACCTAAATCAGAAGCTATAGTTGGTGTCTATATTTGAGATGATAAGAATGGGATCCATACGAAGCGAAAGAAATACTACATTTTCCCTTATATCCCAAAATACTTGTTCAATGGCAGGGAATTTTTCGTGAAATACATTTACGGAGAATCATGGTTCCTATAAAGTCATTTGAGCACTGTCTCCTGCAAGCTCTGTCTGGCTTTGCTTTTTCTCTCATACAGCCATCGTCTTGCGGCAGTCTTGAAAATGTGTGACCCGGTGACGACTCTTTCTGGTTGTAAAAGAAGTGCAACATCTCTCAAGGAACCATTTCAGCCTGCATATTCCCATAGTTCAAGGGGTACAGACAAAACAAAATATTAAAAAATTTAAAAAGGCAAAAGAGTAGCAATTCTAGCATTTGAAGGTAGTCAAAACGGATAAATTATCCGGCTTGACCCATATTTAATACGGATAAAAAAACGGGTTAACCAGCGGATAATATGGGTAACCATATTATCCATGGCTTTTTGAATATGATCACTTTTGGAAGAATTTTTAGTTTCTCAAACTTGAGGAACCCCTAATTTGAGGCTTCACAAATATAAAAGTTAAAATCCAGTAGTTATCCATTGGTTATCCATTTTCTAAATAGATAATATGGTTCTTATCCATTTTTGACACGTTTATAAAAAGTTCATTATCCAACCCATTTTTTAGTGGATAATATGGGTGGTTAAGTGTTTTCTTTTAACCATTTTGCCACCACTAGTAAGACACATGGGAAAACACCATCCATAGGTGAAAGAAATGAAAAGCAGAGAACAGTAATAAGGGAAAGGAGCTTGCTTACAAGTCTAAAAGGCAGGAGCATGTGGAATGGAGTTGATGATGTGGTTGGAGTTGGTGATCCAGAGAAAATGGCGCTGCAGGAGACGTCGGGTGGAGGATGTCTGTTTGAGGGGAGGGTGGTGGTGAGAATGGCGGGGAAGGAGAAGGAGATGAAGAGAAATAGTAGGGGAGATGTGCAGGTCCTACACTCACAGGCAGTGGGGATTGTGGAGTTGGGGGTGACGACGAGGGACTCGCGTAACCACTAACCATTTTGAGTTTATCTTCCTCCCCCCCATGGCCATTGTGTGTGTCTGTATTTTGAAGTGTCGCGCGACTCAGCTTTGAATTGTAGGTAAACCAAACGGTCACTAACACTCACATATGGGGCCTTATCCCGCCATGTGTAATCAATCTCTAAATCCTGACTATAAAAATGCACATATTCCAGACCTGACTTCCCAACAACCAATCCAATTTGTATGAGAGTTCCTTTGTATTAGTAGGTGTAATCCTCTAGTCAAACGGTCACGTACAGTGAAAAAGAAGGAATTGTGGGAGTCGGAGAGAGAAGAGAAATGATATATAGCGGTTAAAAGGAGAGGACGAAAATGATTTGCAAAAGAGAGTAGAGGTATCAATCATCGGTACACGAAGGGCATATCGATCCTCTCGTCTCTCTTTTTCTGTATCGCAGTGGGAGCTCAAGCTGCCCAAGAAAGCGCAGCTGCGTTGCAAAGGGGTCAACTCTTAATTATTAAGTGCTTGACGGACTTCTTTATAAGTTCTTGTTGGACTTAGTCTCCAGTTATATTGTATTTCCTCAAATAGCATATTTGTGCAAGCAACTAGCTCTGAATCCACCTATCTGTAGGCTCTACGCAAAACCTGGCAAGTTGTATCTTTTTAACATCATGAACAGATTCAGAGCTATACATCAGGTAGATGATCATTAATACATTATAACTAGTCCAGATTATAACTCCTGGATAATTAAAGAAGCAAGAATCTACACAACATTGAACGGTGCTCAAGTATGTTCATAAGCAGACCAGGGTAATTGGCATTTTTGCAAAGCTGAATCTCCGAATAAGAAGACGATCAACAGAAATTACTACCATTACAACAATACAAGAGGATCTAATAAACCACCCACCATATACAACTGAAACCAGGTGAACGTTGTACCTTGCTCCCTCTTAGAGATGCTTGATAGATTTTCCATACTTGACAGATATCCTAACATGTCAATGTGACAGCCAGCGAAGAACCAGGCTAGTACTTCTTACGCACAAGCAGTGAATAGATGCACTTTTCTGCACATAAATTTTTTCCCATACATAAACATGCATCTGCTTTAAATTTGCCACTTAATAATTTCTCTTCTTGTGTAGAAACTCTATTAAATGATCTCCGCGATAAGTTTCTGAAGGGCTTCATTTGTAAGAGGAATACACAAGCAATCTTGACCATCCGAATTCCTTTTGGTTTTGATCAACTCATGGTCCTTAAATTCTGTCAGATGTGAATTCAAAGTAACTTGACTACTCACCAGGAACCGTTCTCGGCATGTAGTGTACAAATTATTGATTGGCATCCCTGAGAAGAACAATGTCAAATTTAAATGAATGATAGATCTATTGCATTCAACAAACATGGAAATGGAAATAAAAATGGGGGGAACGAACGTATGAAAGAACTTGCCTTCTTCATCAGAATGGGCTAATTGATGCTCCGCTAGAACTTTAAAAACATTTTGAGCATTTGGTGTCAGACTCTGTAAGACAATTGAAGCTGTCTTTACACTTTGAGCAGTGCCCCCATGAGCGAGAATGAAAGGAAAAAACATTGCTTCAACCTTGTATGGAGCAAAAGTAGGAACATGGCACCAATACCAGTTAAACTGTGTGTGAACCATCTTCTTATCCCACACTGGTATATATGACATAGCCAACGTAGTAAATGTCAGACCTTTTTCTATGTGACATGCACATAATAAATACAGGAGTTCTAATACCAGGTGTTAAGGGAGATACTAAGGAATGACAAGAAGTTGACATTTCAGCATCAGATGGTATAGTTAAGGTGCTATATTTTTATGGTCAAGCAGCAACTAGCAAAAGGCAGTAATACCTAGAAATTCTTAAACCAGGTAAAATTAGTAAAAGGCACTAATACATGCAAACTACGGAAAAGGACTTCACAAAACACTCCCTTACACCTCTAGACATCCTCTATTATGCACACGTCCAATCATATACATGCTCACACATGCGTGCAGAAAACACTTACAAAGAGGAGCATTGACATGATCAATGGAAGCAACCATACGGACATGAGAACAAGCAGCGATACTAGCAAGACATTGTTGGCTGTCAGAATCACGCACCCCAGGACCATCAATGTTATGAACAATGATGCAAACAAAACACTCATCTCCTATATCTGGCTTGTCTAGAAAAGCAAGAAGGTCGTCCATGGATTTGGGGTTAAATGGTTGTTGGCTTTTAGACGGATTTCCAGAGGTTGTCTTTTTTCGCAATTTTAATTGATCCCAAAGGAGCTCAGCTAGTGTTATCACCACCTGCAATAGAACATCAACGATAGCAGATCTCTTAGTATTACTAGAATGATTTTGTGCTAGCAACCGGTGTATTGTGCATCTCATGCGGATCTTATCATATAATATCATAAAAGAGGGGGTGCTCATAACTGCAATAATTGTTGATATTAAGGAAGTATAATAAATTAAAAAAGGTAATTACTATTGTTATATCAAGTCCCAAGCACCAGGAATCAAATGAACTGTGTCAAAAATATGTGTTTTAAGTATTTATAGCCTCCATAACACCAAGTAAATTTTGAGACTATGAAGTTTGGGCATAACCATCATATTGGACCAGCAAATGTGAAATCTTCAGTTATTGCCCTCTCATTAAATCCAGTGGCACTGGCTTGGTATGTACCAGATAACAACTAAACTTAAAAAATTGTCAGTGCTAACTTAAAAATCCATGTCAGTGTGCATGTGCTGCACTAAAGGAGAAAGTTTGCAACCAAACAACATAGCTCCATAAGCAAAAGCTCCTGTCATGATCAGTGTTCTTATAGTAATCTGTCTAACCCAAAAACGCGGGCCTATAACTTTGTTTTCCAGAAAATTTGCGAAGTGGAAGATCCTGGCTTTGAGAGTTTCTACACCAAAATTATTTTCTAAAACAAGGGTACCAAGCAAGCAGCACTTTTAAACAAGAAAACAATAGGGTGAATACCTGTTTAAGATTTATAGACTGGAGATAGCCATTGACAACAACAACAGAATACTCAGTTAAAGATCTTGTCGCAAAATCTTCAATCAAAGCTTTCTTTGATCCAAAGCCATACATCAAAAGTGCAAAACCACACCTATCAGAGTAACAAAGAATTGGAAAGGAAAACCTTCCAGGTTTACATTTGATAGCAAATGAATACTAGGCAAATAAAAAAACTTGTTGAAAAAGCATATTGTGGAGTAAACCTACACATCAGGACACTGACCTTAGCACAAAAAGCCATTCTGAATACAAACTTTTGTAGCTATTGATCAAATCATTTACTTCTTTCTCATGTTTGGGCTCAATATTAGCTGCCACCTCTCTTAATTCCTGCATGCAACAATCATCATTGTGGACTCTCAGTAAGAAGAATTATAAGTGGAACTTTATCCATTATGCATTGGTCAGGAAAGATTAAAACATGTATAAGGGACACAACCATGTACAACAAGTGTAATTTGGAAAATGCATAGTACCCCTCATCTTCGAGGGTATTGTCCACTGGCCCTTTGTTGATATTATCTTTCTTGCCTCTGTTCAATGGTCAAGTATGGATTTCCTTGATAGTTTTATTACATGAATGATCACAGCTCGCATCATGAAGTAGTTCATCTCAAAATATACCTTTATGCACTTCTTGGAATGCATCAACTGAAAAGTCAGCTTTTATTTTCTCCATAATTACAAAAAACATAAATTTTGTTGAACCTCTTTTGCTTGCTGATAAATCTAAAAGGTGGTTCACAGCAAATACTTGTGTATTCAGAGCTGTTAAGATGAATTTATGCTTATCCGTTGAAAGAGAGCGTTTAATGTCCACAGTTCCTTTTTATTGGATCATTTTGAGTTACTTCTAAATTATCTCTTTAATATGATGAGGAAGATGGGTTTTGGCGATAGGTGAAAGGAATGGACGAAATTTTGTGTGCCAACTGTCATTTTTTTTTTATTTTAATCAATGGATTCCCCGTTGGTTTTTTCTCCCCATAGAGGATCGAGACATGGTGATTCTTTGTCACCATACCTTTTTATTATGGTGATGGAAAGTCTCAGCAGAATGATATCTAAAGCAGTGTCACTTAGGGGTGGAAATTACTGGTAAGTGGTAACTATAGTAATCACTTAACTGCTCCCTTATCTGCCATCACTTAACTGGCTCCCTATTGTATGCTGGTGACATTTGAATTTTGTGTGATGCAGATAAGGAGAAAATTTTACATTTGAAGGGGATTATTAATGCTTTTGAACTATCTGGAGTCCATATAAACCTGAGGAAGAGCAGTTTATTTTCGGTACATGCTGATCAGCATGCTCAGTCACTAGCAGACACTTCGGCTTGCAAGCTGGGAAGTTTTCCCACTTCTTGTTTGGGACTACCTCTTGGAGCAAAAATATAGAGATAACAGTATATGGAAAGGAGTAAATGAAAAATGTGAGAAGAAATAATGTTCAAGGAAAAGAGAATATCTTTCCTTTGGTGGAAGATTGACGTTGATTAATAGCATACTTGATGCAATTCCGACTTATTTAATGCCATTGGTACCTATGTCAGCCAAGGTGGAAGGGCATTTAAATAGGATCAGATGCAATGTTTTATGGGAAGGTAGATTCCAGGTAAGTTTCATTTGATAAAGTATGAAAAAGTTACAATTTGCAAGGAGGGAGGTGATTTGGGTGTTAGGAACATCAGGCTCCATAATAAAAGTTTGCTTTACAAATGGCTATGGAGATGAAATGACATAAAGAAAGAGCACTGCAAGGAGGTCAGCAAGGCTAAAGATGGGTTCCAGAATTATGGGGAACAGCTCACATAGTATCTCCCCATGGCACTGCAATGTGGAAACATATCAATAATCTGTGGGAGGAATTCCAAGCATACACCAGATTAAGTGTTGGAGATGGAAAGACAAGTGGCTTGTGGAAGATACATTAGCTGATTCTTTTCCTGATTTAAGTGTTGAATAAAGATTCTGCATAAAAGACTGTCGGGATGGCAGCACTTGGACCTTTCAGTTTAGAAGAAATTTCAACGATTGGGAGATTGAAAGCATAAACAAATTTCTGCAAATGACTCAGAACGTTTCACCGATAGATTCCCAGAATGATTGTTTGAGAGAAAAGGCAGCAGGGATGTCAGCTTTTCTGTCAGCTCGAGTTATCAGTTACTTGTAAAAAACATGGCTTCTCACAATAATGACTGGCCATGGAAAATGGTGTGGAAGACAAAAAGCACCAACCAAAGTAGCTTGTTTCGGTTGGTGGCAGCACATGAGGCATGTCTTACGAAAGAAAGCTAGCAGAGCAGAGGTATTAACTTTGTGGCTAGTGCTATTTATATAAGAAAGAGGGTGAAACAGTTAACCACTTGCTGCTACACTGCAATTATGTATGGCAAATATGGTGCATGTTTCTTAATCTTTTTGGGATCCAAAGGGTTATGCCAGCAAGAGTTAAGCAAGCTTTGAGCAGTTTGGCATATGCAGAGTGAGCTAGGAAAAGAAGAAGACCTGGATGACCATCCCTTTTATGCATAATATGGAACACTTGGCTCAAGAGGAACATAAGATATTTTGAGAATGTTTCATTTTTAAGAATATATGTAATTGAAGTAATACTGGAGTTTTTGGAATCGTTACAGATTTAAAGGGTTCATACCCAGCAAGGTCCTTGTATTGTGCCCCAACTGTCTTGGCACTGGCCTACTGGGCTTCTATAAGCAAACAACCTTTATTCATCAAAAAAAGCACTTGACTAATCAAATACTATATTTTTCTTTTTATAGTTTAACTGAAGCTACCTCAAGGACCGGGAAAACAGAGAATTGTGAGTGGTAACTTAACGTGTAATGATTTGTCATCAGTAATATCTTTCCTTATCAAAAAATTAACGTGAAAAATTACTAATTAGTCTGGGTGTGTTTATTTCTAGTTTTCTTTGTATCAAAAGATAAAAAGCTGCAACATGGTCAACTGACAAAAGTCGTATAATTATGTGAATATGGGTTAGGAATGCTTCCTTTTACCTTCAACCTCGATTTATCCTCATTTTGATCTTGTTTTTGAACATGGGTTTAACCTCTGAATTTCCTAAGGCTCCATGCAGATGCAAAAGGTTTTACATTATCTCTTGCGCATGTCATTTCACAAATAATTCGGTTTCAATTTTTCTCAGTGTAATTGTTGTTTATTAGTAGCTTCATTCAAATTTTAAATCTCTTATGTATTGAGGCTTTTATAATTCAAATCCTTACAAATATTTGAAAACAAACAATTCTAATGGGACTAGTATGTTTTCAATCTTAAGAATTGTATGCTGGATTTGGAGTTTCTCATTTTCCCTAAACTCAACATATAACTATTTAAATTTGTTATCTTGAAAATTATGTGCTATAGAGAAGATAAATTGAAATGTCACTGCTATTGTACTTCTAGCTAAATGGAATTGATTGAAATAAAGTGGATAGGACAAATGGGACAAAATTTTCTCAAATTACATTAAATAATAACAAACGCGTGAAAACTTTCTTTCTCTCACTCACCATGCTCCCGGCGCACGGTAGTTAACCTAAGCCACTGTGAATACCATGGGGCCTGGACGAGGCAGAGGAAGGGGACGACCAAAATCAGTACCAATTGTTTCGTTTGGGAGTGCAATTGGTGCAAGGATGCAGCCAAAGACATCCAAAGCAAGCGCTCAAAGAACAGAGGAGAACAATCCTAACCATGCAAGCATTGGATGAGCTTCGATAGATCTTCTAGCTAGTGAAATCAGCACACAATTAGACCTAAAGGAAAATCCAGCAACAACACCAAAGGGATTGGGCTTGAGTACTATAACCCTAATGGAGAAATCCAATGGAACAGTAACCCCAGGGGGAGTGAGTTTACCAGTGGAGATACTGAAGGAGGATTCAACTCTGAAGCGACCAATTTTGAAGAGCTTAAACGAGAAGGCCATGGATCTGGAAAGCACAAGCACAGATCCTACAGAGAATGCCCCAATGAAGGTACCATGGACAAGCCTATTTGCTAAACACAGATGGGCAACTAATGGTATGTCTCTTTCCTACATTCCACCACAGATAGTGAATGGTCAACCCATGGCTCAACTAGTTAAATCTGAAGTAGATAAGGAAGCTGAGAAGTGGAAAAGTGCGCTTATTGTCTATGTAATAGGAGAGGTACCTGGTTTCAATGCGATGAGTCGATATATAAGGAAAACTTGGGCAAATGTGGCTGTCCCGGATCTGTTTCTGCATGAGGGGGGCTACTATGTGGTAAAATTTCAAAGTGTAGAGGAGATGAAGGAAATCTTCTATGCAGGTCCCTACACTATCAGCAACAGACCTTTGATTATGAAGGTTTGGACACAGAACTTTGATTTTAAAAAGGAATTCCTCACAAACATTCCTTTATGGGTCAAGTTTCCAAACCTTCCTATGCAATGCTGGAGTAGTGATTCTCTGAGTAGAATTGCAAGTCTCATTGGTACACCAATTTTTGCAGATGAATGCACCTCAAAACAATCTCGGATTTCATTTGCTAGGATGTTGATAGAGGTGAATGCAACTAAGGCACTCTCTGAAGAAGTTGCCGCGATGGAACCAACAGGGAGGTTTTTCAGTAGAGCGTCACTTATGATTGGAAACCTGCATTTTGTGACCAATGCCTCCAAGTAGGTCATTCATGTAAAGTCCAACCACAACCTGGCCAGCAACATCCAGAAGTTCAGAGACAAAAGAGAGGCCCAAAAAGAGTGGAACAAGTATGAGGAACTAAGAATCCAAGGGACAGACCTATCGAAGGTAATGGGTAGATGCGACATAAGCAAGATCAAGGCAATGATGTGCAAACAAAGGTGCATACTCAGCATCCTGCTATCCTTAAAGATGTAAATGCCCAAACAATTAAAGAGGATCAAATGGCAGAAGCGGCAAAGAGTAAAGAAAAGGCTACAATACCCCAAAGTCCTCCACTGGACTACACCACTTAGAAATTCTTTTGAGATACTCAGTGCAGAGGAGCAGAGAAGTGATAACACCATGCCTCCAGATAGGGGGGGGGGGGGGGAAGTACCTATCAATGACCTGGTGCATATGGAATGTGAGAGACACTAAAAAGAGGTACAAACAAAAGGAGCTCAGGAATTACCTCAAAAATGCCAAAATCTACATAGCAGGATTAGTGGAGACAAGACTTGAGCAACATAATGCTCAGAAGATTCTTAACAGCATAGCCCCTGGCAGGGGATTCTATAATAACTATCAAGAGGCACCTAATGGTAGAATATGGTTAATGTGGGATGAGCAAAGGTTCTCTGTGAACTTGTTAGTTGTTACTAGTTACAGCCCAACTGATTCACTATAAAGTTTACAGACAAAATTACTGCAATTGAGCAACTGGTGACAATCATTTATGGCTTTAACACTGTGGAGCAAAGACTATCCTTATGGGCTGCACTGAACACATTAGGGCCTTCGATCAACCTCCCTTGGTTGGTGAGTGGAGACTTTAATGATGTACTCTACTCCACAGATAGAGTAGGAGGAAACCCCATCAGTGCTTCTGAGACCAAAGACTTTGAAGATTGTATACTCAACTTAGGACTAAATGAGCTACATTGGAGTGGTCAGTACTATACCTGGTCTAATAAACAACAGGGTCCTGATAGAGTGTGCAGTAGAATTGATAGAGCCTTGGGTAATGGAGATTGGATGCTATGCTGGGGCCACATTAAAGTGGAATATGATGTTCCATTTATTTCAGATCATTCTCCAATATTACTTCACTTGAAATCTATAACCAAATCACCCAAGACTCCCTTCAGATTCTTCAACATTTGGACTGAACATAGCCAGTTTGAGTCATTTGTGAAGGAGGTGTGGCAGAAACAATTAGATAACAATCCTATGAAGAATATATGGATGAAGCTGAAGGCCTTGAAACCTTTGTGCAAGAAGCTCAATAAAGAGGAGTTTAGCTACATCACGCAGAAGGTTGAGGTTACCAAACAACTGAGAAGTATAGAAGAACAACTAGCCCAACAGTATACAGATGCACTGATGATAGAAGAAAAAGAGACAGCTCAAGACTTGGAAAAATGGTCCTCAATAGAGGAAAGTGTGATGAGACAGAAATCTAGAATTAGATGGTTCAAATTGGGTGACGCTAACACCAAGTATTTCACGACAGTAATCAAGGAGAGAACAGTCAAGAAACAAATAGTGGAGCTCAACACACTTACAGGAAATAAGACCTAAAGGCTATTAGTGATGAAATTATCACCTTTTATAGAAGCCTAATGGGGACATCAGCCAAGGAGCTACCTCCTATCAACAGGTTGATCATGGAGCAAGGACCAAAGTTGACTCATGAACAACAATTGGCATTGTGCAAGGAAGTTACAACTACTGAAATTTATGACAGCTTATGCTCGATTGGAGATGACAAGGCACCTGGAGTTGATGGGTACAATGCAGTATTTTTCAAGAAGACATGGCACATAATCAAGGAAGAGATAAACCAGGTTGTTTTAGCTTTCTTCACAACAGGGAAGCTATACAGAGCACTTAACTGTACTGCCCTCACATTGATACCTCAATCTGAGAATCCCCTTACAGTAAAAGAATATAGGCCAATAGCCTGCTGCACTGTCCTATATAAAATTATATTAAAAGTTTTAGCATCAAGATTACAAAAAGTGATGCCTGATATTATCTATGAAGCACAGGCAGGCTTCATACCAGGGAAGAAAATAGGTGATAACATCATATTTGCTCATGAATTAGTCCAGGCCTACAATAGGAAGCATGTGTCTCCTAGGTGTATGATCAAAATTGACCTTCAAAAAGCTTATGACACAGTTGAATGGTGCTATCTGGAGCAGGTATTGGAAGAATTGGCTTTCCCCAGAAAATTCATTGCTTGGATTATGGAATGCCTTAAAACAGTGAACTACTCTATCTTGGTTAATGGTGAACCAACTGAACCTTTCGATGCTGCAAGGGGCTTGAGACAAGGGGATCCCATGTCCCCTTTCCTGTTTGCTATAGCAATGGAGTATCTTAGTAGGCAATTGAACAGCTTGAAGAATGAAAAGACTTTCAGATTTCATCCAAAGTGTGCAAAGATGGGGATTACACATTTGTCCTTTGCAGATAATCTATTACTCTTTGCCCATGGAGATGTAGGGTCTGTACACTACCTTCATCAGTGTTTTCAGCAATTCTTCTCTACCTCAGGCTTACAAGCTAACCTAGGCAAAAGTTCATTGTATTGTATTGTGGAGGAGTGATACAGGCAGAAAAGGACAGAATCTTGCAGCTGTTGGGATATGTCTATGGGGACCTACCTTTCAAATACTTAGGCGTACCTTTGTCAACTAAGAAGCTGACCATTGCACAATGGCAGCCTCTTATCCCGAAGATTGTTAAAAGAATCTCATCATGGAGTGCTAGGAAATTATCCTATGCTAGAAGGATCCAACTGGTTAAATCAGTCATCTTTGGTATCTAAGCATATTGGTCTCAGCTTTTCATGATCCCTGCCAAGGTATTGGACATAATTGATGCATATTGTTGCAGCTATGTGTGGTCAGGTGTCAATACTATAAATAAATAGGCTTTGATTGCCTGGGAAAAGGTTTGTTCTCCTAAATCAGCAGGTGGACTTAACCTTATGAATCTACGGATTTTGAACAAGGCAGCAGTAGTAAAAACCTGTCGGGACTTAGCACATAAAACTAACAGGTTATGGATTCGATGGATTCATAGTTACTACATTAAGGGACATCAATTTGGTAGTATGAAGGTGCCACAAAGTGCATGTTGGATGATTCGGAAGATTTTTGATGCAAGAGATATCCTGCTGCAAATGTACCATTCTGCTCCAGGGAAAAACTTGATTAAACAGACTTACTTGCAGCTTCTAGGTGATCTCCTAAGAATACCATGGAAATGCCTAATGTTCTCCAACGAAGCTAGACCTAGAGCAAGATTTACCATGTGGCTTCACTTGCATGGAAGGCTACTTATTGTTGATAGATTAGCAAAATGGGAACTCAATGTGGAACTAAAGTGTAGCCTATGTCAAGAATACAATGAGACAAATGAACACCTCTTTGTTCAATGTAGAATCTCAAGGAAGATATGGGACAAGGTTCTGCTATGAGGAAAGAAGAATGCACTATTTCCAAACGCATGGAATCAATATCAACACTGAATTATTGAGAATGCCAAGGGGAAATCAACAACTGCCCAGGTCTTCAAATTGTTATATACTGAACCAGTGCAAGCTATTTGGATGGAAAGGGATCACGGAATATTTGAGCAAACGAGCAAAGATTGGAGTGCCATTGCAAAAGAGATAGCCTTCGTGTGTTGTGCAAGATCATCTGTTAGAACTAGGAGCTATTTTGAGACTTGTATGTTCTAAATTTCTCTAAGTGTACATATAGAGGTATGGATAGTCTTTCTTGTTTCTTGTCTTTAGATAGTTAGTTGAGTTAACTACTATGGCTTTGTAAAGTTTATCCTTGGTGATTAATAAAAGTTTTAATTACCAAAAAAATAAAATAATAACAATTCACTTATACGAGCCATCCAATCTCTTTTGTTCTAGCTAAGATATCGGAAAGAAAATGAAGGAATACTTTTTTCTCCATTTCTTCTCATTTTGACTGGAAGTAAACTATACAAAATACTATAAAAGAAGAGTTTTTAAAAAAGGACAGCCTATTAGGGGTTGCTTTCACAGATCAAACCCGTGACCTATATGCCACATGAGGTGCACGAGGACAGCCTTGCAGTAAACAAATTTAAACAATTTAAGTAAAATCAGTTCGAGCCATATATACAATTAAACAATTTTAAAAAAGAAGTATTCTACATTAAGTTTGCAACCCCTGATTGGGAGCAATGGTACTTCACATGGTCCACCTTAGTTGAGATGTAGCAACCAATAATATAAACAGATGAGAAATTAGAAAGCAAACACAGACCTCTTCGTCCACAAGATCGATTTCGGAGAGCTTACGAGCTGATTTTTTCCGAGAAGAGCCCACTTCTTTTGCAAGGAAATAGTTTCTTGAGAACCCGAACTCCTCTTCCTCAATCTCATCCGCATCCATTTCCTCAGACCCAGAGAATCTCAAACACTAAGACTTTGTTCAATTAACAAGCACAATCTCAAAGAAGTGCGTTTTTTCTTTGTATTTCTTCTTCTGTTACTCTTATAAAGCGAATAGCAGATAGTTGTGAGGTGTGTTTCTAATTCAAGGGTAATCTTGTAATTCAGTGTTTAAGTGCAAATGTGGGAGGCATAACGAGGGAATAGCCGCTCCTCTTTAAAGTTACATGGGCGTTTGGACATAAGAATTGTATAATTCTAAAATAGGGTGAATGTTATAAAATAATAAAAGTAGAAGAACAATATTGCAGAGAAAGAGAGAGGGGAAATTCTTATTGAATTTTGGGATGAATTACAATGGAATAGAACCATCTATTTATAGGGAGATGGTGACTTAACCACCAAGTAATAAACCCTAGAATCTCTCTATATATGGACATTCACCATAAATAGGATTCTATTTATAACACTCCCCCTGAATGTCTATTCAACAGATAATGTGCCTCGTTAAAACCTTAACTAAAAGAAAACTCAATGGGAAAAAAAATTCTATAAAAGGAAAAAGAGTACACATGTTTAGAAATGCGCCTATTGGTTGCCTCGTTAAAAACCTTGCAAGGAAAACCCAGTGGGACAAAACCTTGTAAGGGAAAAAGAGTGCAACGCGCATTAACTCCCCATGATGAGAGCGTCAATTCACATCCTTGAGCCTTCGCATCCCGATCTTGTACACTAGCTTCTTGAAGGTTGACGTTGGTAGAGATTTTGTGAACAAATCAACCATATTATCACTTGAACGAATCTGTTGCACATTAATATCACCATTCTTTTGAAGATCATGTGTGAAAAATAACTTTGGTGAAATGTGCTTTGTCCTATCTCCTTTTATGGATCCTCCCTTCAATTGAACTATGCATGCTGCATTATCTTCATACAAAATTGTGGGTAACTTGTCACATTTCACACCACATTTGTCTCGAATAAGATGTATTATAGACCTCAACCACACACATTCTCGACTTGCTTCATGAATAGCAATTATCTCTGCATGATTAGATGAAGTAGCCACAATTGATTGCTTAATCGATCGCCAAGATATGGTAGTGCCTCCACAGGTAAATACATAACCTGTTTGAGACCGAGCCTTGTGTGGGTCAGATAAATACCCAGCATCAGCATAACCAACAAGATCGGGACTGCAATTGTTGCCATAAAATAAGCCCATATCGGTAGTCCCTTTTAGATACCGCAATATGTGTTTGATTCCATTCCAATGTCTCCTTGTGGGAGCAGAGCTATATCTTGCTAAGACATTAACTGAAAAAGTTATGTCAGGCCTTGTAGTATTGGCAAGATACATTAGTGCACCAATTGCACTAAGATATGGTACTTCAGGACCAAGTAGCTCTTCATTCTCTTCTTGAGGTCGGAATGGATCCTTATTCACATCAAGTGATCGAACAACCATCGGAGTACTTAATGGATGTGCTCCATCCATGTAAAACCGTTTCAATACCTTTTCTATGTAGGTAGATTGATGAACAAAAATTCCGTTTGCCAAATGTTCAATTTGCAAACCAAGACATAATTTTGTCTTTCCGAGATCTTTCATCTCGAATTCCTTCTTTAAATAATCAATTGCCTTTTGGAGTTCTATAGGAGTTCCAATAAGGTTTATGTCATCAACATATACGGCAAGTACAACAAATTCCGATGTTGTTTTCTTTATAAAAACACATGGGCAAATGGCATCATTTATATAGCCTTCCTTTAATAAATACTCACTAAGACGATTATACCACATTCGTCCTGATTGCTTTAGACCATACAAAGATCTTTGCAATTTGATTGAAAACATTTCCCGGGACTTTGAATTATGTGCGTTTGGCATTTTAAATCCATCGGGAATTTTCATGTATATCTCATTATCAAGTGAGCCATAAAGGTAGGCGGTAACCACATCCATTAAATGCATGTCAAGCTTTTCATGGACAGCAAAACTAATGAGATAACGGAACGTTATAGCATCCATAACGGGTGAATATGTCTCTTCATAATCGACACCAGGCCTTTGTGAAAATCCTTGTGCAACAAGGCGTGCCTTATATCTTTGTACCTCGTTTTTCTCATTTCTCTTGCGTACAAAGACCCATTTATAGCCAACAGGCTTAACACCATTAGGTGTTTGGACTACAGGCCCAAAAACTTCACGTTTCGCAAGTGAGTTCAACTCTGATTGGATTGCTTCTTGCCATTTTGGCCAATCACGTCTTTGTCGACATTCTCCAACAGACTGAGGTTCAAGATCCTCACTTTCTTGCATAATGCTAGATGCAACATTATATGCAAAGACATAATCCACCACTATATCCACTCGATTCAAATTTTCTCAATATCGATTGGATTTATTGATAGTTCCTTATTTTCTTGAGTCTCGGGCTTAGTGGATTCCTCATGAATCTCAGAATTTATTAAATTGTGGATTTCTTCATGAGATTCTTTCGTAGTGTCATTTTGATCATTTGTTTTCCTTTTTCTAGGATTTCGATCTTTGGAACCTAATGGTTTGCCACGTTTAAGGCGTGCTTTTGACTCATTAGCTATGACACTAGAAGATTGTCCAATAGGGACATCAATACGGATTGGAACATTCTCCGCAGGGATATGTGATTTTGTTATCCTTTTCATATCCGTAAATGCATCTGGCATTTGATTTTCTATTCTCTGCAAATGAATAATCTTTTGCACCTCTTTTTCACAAATAGAGGCACGTGGATCAAGATGAGATAATGATGGATTTTTCCACAAAATTTCCCGTTTGGTTTTACCAACTTCTCCCCCTAATTTTGGAAAAAGTGTCTCATCGAATCGACAATCTGCAAATCGAGCAGTGAATAAATTCCCCGTTAATGTTTCAAGATAGCGAATAATGGAGGGCGATTCAAACCCAACGTATATTCCTAACCTTCTTTGGGGACCCATTTTGGTGCGATATGGCGGTGCTACAGGCACATATACTGCGCACCCAAAAATTCTTAAATGGGATATATTAGGTTCATGACCCAAAACTAATTGCAACGGGGAATATTTATGATAATTTGTCGGTCTGAGATGAACTAGCATTGATGCATGCAAAATGGCGTGACCCCAAACAGAAGTGGGTAACCTCGTTTTCATGAGTAACGGTCTTGCTATCAATTGCAGACGTTTAATTAAAGACTCTGCAAGGCCATTTTGAGTGTGAACATGAGCTACAGGATATTCCACTTTTATCCCAATTGATAAGCAATAATCATTAAATGCTTGGGATGAAAACTCAGCAGGATTATCAAGTCTAATAGACTTAATTGGATTATCGGGAAATTGTGCCCTTAATCGAATTATTTGTGCCATTAATTTTGCAAACGCGAGGTTGCGAGATGACAATAGGCACACATGGGACCATCTAGAAGATGCGTCTATTAAGACCATAAAATATCTAAACGACCCACTAGGTGGGTGAATAGGTCCACAAATGTCCCCTTGTATACGTTCCAAAAACGCAGGGGACTCAATTCCAACCTTTGTTGGTGGTGGTCTAATAATTAACTTGCCTTGATAACAAGAAGTGCAAGAAAATTCATCATTTAAAAGAATCTTTAAATTCTTTAATGGATGCCCATTTGAGTTTTCTATAATTCGTCTCATCATAATTGATCCAGGGTGTCCCAATCGATCATGCCAAAGTACAAAAGTATTGGAATCGGTAACCTTTTGGTTTACAATAGAATGTGCCTCAATTGCACTAATTCTTGTCCAATACAGGCCACAAGACAAAGATGGGAACTTCTCAATAGCCCTTTTCTGGCCAGAGACATTTTTGGTAATGATGAGATATTCAAGATTATTCTCATCTATTGTCTCAATATGATATCCCTTTCGACGGATATCTTTAAAACTCAACAAATTCCTCTTGGACTTGGAGGAGAACATTGCATTCTCTATGATTAGTATTGTTCCCTTAGGCAGAGTTATAGTAGCTCTTCCAGAGCCTTCAATTAAATTACTACTACCAGAAATTGTAGTAACATCTGCCTTACACATACTTAAATGAGAGAAATATTTCTTCTCTTTGAATATTGTATGTGTCGTACATGAATCAATTAAACAAATATTTTTACAATTGAACTTTGATCCAAGTTTACTGATCACGCCCAACTATGCCTTAGAAAAAGGACTCTGCGGACGCTACAAATATAACCCGAGTATTACGCCCAGGGTCGAATCCACAGATAGTTAACCTATCAACCACTATCTTCAGACTCACTAATTCTTCATAACCAGCTTCCCAAATATTCAAATCTCAGTTGAGTGTTCTTTAACAACTAGCTTGCAAGTAACTAAATAGCTGTAAACTAAACTAATGAGGTTGAAAACAATTATGAGGAAAAGCTAAGGCAATGATTTCCCCTATTGATGGAATCCCTTCTGTTTATGCTCATACAAATTTATCACACCTCTTTATCAATCATGAACGCTAATCTTACCGCAAATCTCTCCCGAGTAATCACAGTAATTTACTATTGCACTCTCCCGAGATACACTAGCTTACTTTATTTAGCACGATTCACTTTAGATTACACCCAAGGCTTCATTATCCCTAATCCCGCCTTTAAACCCGCAATTATAGATTCCTCTAATAATCTAGGAGTGGTGTTGTTCAACAATACCCCTAAATATGCACTCTTTTCCAAGTTATGCACACTAAATAGGCACAGCTAATTGAGGATCCTGTCAATTAACTACAACAAACACGAAGTTGAACAAATAGAGATTGAACTAGCAATTTGTATTCACATAAACAAGAAGTTCATCACCCTATAGGTTCCATCAAAACCTTAGACAAGGAATTTAGCTACTCATGGCTATGGGAAAATAAACTAAGATTGAATTCATCATAAAAATCAAAAGAAAAGAAGAAAGATGGTTGAAGTATTCTCTCACAATGGTTTTCCTTGCTAAGAAACCTTAAAAATCAATACATGCCTCTCTTGGGCGAAGTCTAATGTTTTAAATAGGGTTTAGGTCTAAAAATCCCGTATTTGACACTTTGACCCCTGAAGTTTTCGCGCCTGCCGCAGTTCTGCAGCGGTCGCGGTAGAACCGCGGCCAATCACCCTCGCGGAATCACTGAAGTTCTGCAGCTGCTTTCCACCGTGGTTCTGCCGCGGTCGCGGTGGAACCGCGGTGGGCCCAGTGCTCTGAATCTTCGGCCTGTTTTGCATGGTTCACTTGGGAAATTTCACAGTTGGCCTCTTTTTTCATCAATTTTGACTCCAAAACTGCTCCTTAGCCTTCCTTATACATATATCACCTGCAAATCATGAAAAGCACTAATAAGAGCATTTTGTTATCACTTTTAGCATTAAAACTACACAAGAAGGTGATTATTTAAGGTGTGATTATAGTCAAATTCACCTATTATCATTTACCTGGAGAGATATCGACATTTGTTTGATCCATTGAATAAAGACTGTTGCACGTTTTCTAATCTTGATTCACAGTTGAAAAGTCTTCTAAGTCTTGATCAATTGTTGTTTGCTAATTCTTCTCTAAGAGGTAAGTGAAGACAACGAACACTACTGATTTACATACACAACCTTTCAGCATAGGCGCAACTGGATATTGAAAACATAAAACATGTTTCTTAATCTTCTTGAGACGGTAGAGTCTATAACGTGTTATGAAATAATAAAAGAAGAAGAGTATCGTAGAGAAAAGTAGGGAGAGAGAATTCTTATTGAATCTGGGATGAATTACAATGGAATAGAACCTCTCTAAATATGAACATTCACCATAAATAGAATTCTATTTATAACATTAATTGATTTTTTTGAAATGGACTAAAAAGCCAACCAAATTAAGGGAATATTCATATTCGTCACTGAAAAATTTATCTAAGGAAGAAAAAGAAAAAGGAGCGAACACAGTGAAGAGAGAGAAAGTGTGAGAGAGAGAGCCGTGTGATTCTAGAAAACTTTTTGATTCGTAAAGTCAGGGATTAGCGTGCAGATTGAAAATCTCGCCGGCGAATCTTTCTCGCGATATCGCCGGGGAGTTGACCGGTGATTTTGATCGGAGGCAGCTGGAGAGTTTTGGTTCAAGGTGAATAGAAGTAAACAAGGATGGTCAATTCAATGGTGGAAAGAGCAACGAGCGACATGCTCATAGGTCCTGATTGGGCTATGAATCTCGAGATCTGCGATATTTGCAATCACGATCCCGCGTATGATGCTTCTATTTAATCTATGATTTTGCGTATATTAAAATTTTACCTCTTTTATCTTTTATTTTTGTTTTATTTTTAGTTTATGTGATTTGAGATTTATTAATCATCAGAGAGTTGACACTAACTGTGGATGATTTAGACTGTGTTTAGAACTGGATTATGAAGTTAAATGTAGTACTTAAGTAGTTGCTCGTTGAGTTAAATGTATAGTATAATGGCAAATGTCCTATTTACCATAAAAAAAAATACTAATAGTAATTGTGTTGAGAATTTCTTGAAGAAACTGTTAATTTGATGAGATGATTGATGAGACTAAGTCCTGTTTGGTTAAGAAGTCGGGGAGAGTACAAGCGATATTATGCAAAAAAGTAAGTGAAGGATTGTGTTATTAGCTCCTGCTAGATAGAATGATCTTCTGGGACCAAACTGCTTGTACTCTAGGTTTATTGACGTAATTTCAATTTACATAATGAAAAATAGATAACTCCTGATTTCAAGAATTCGTGGAGAAATCCCTGCATGTATTCTCATCATGTCTTTAGTAGGTATAATAGTGCTGGTCGTGTCAGCTGGGGATTCTAAATTTTAGTTTTCAAGAAACTCAATAAGCAATTTGGTTTCATGTTACAATTGTATTCAGGGAGATGTTGCTTGGCGATGGATCCATCTGAAGTTTAAAGTTATATTATCTAAAAGTTTAGTTTTTCCAATGAGGAGTTTTATATATTATCTTATTTATTCCTTGTCAAGTTTAATTACTTCTACGCCAATGTTGTGAGGAGGCAAATATGTCAATGTTAAGTTGATCAAAGACTCCTGGAACGTACAACCTCAAGGGTTAAACATTATGCAGTGTGTTAAAAGCGTCTATATACCTGTGTTGCTTGGTAGTATGGACAGAAAAGAATTAGGGTGCTTTGAAGGGAGGGCTTCGACTGTACCTGATTAAAAAAGTAAAAATAAACGAAGAGCTTTGCCTGTAGATATGCTAAAATATAGATGCCTATTTCTGTTAGCTGTCTGGTATAAGTCATATAATGCATATGGAAAAGAGGATATGATAAGACTTTTATTAGCTCTTTATCAGCTTGAACCTTTTTCTAAATGGAACATCAACTTTTGTACACATCTGCACTTTTTTAGTGCTGATCTAACTTTTGCAGTAATAATATTTTTGCTTACGTTCTTCTAAAGGAAGTGTATATCTGTCTATTTGGCTATCTTGAGAGTGTGCATATTTAGGCTGATCTCTTGGTCAACAGTGGGCAGATTTAATTTGAGATTCAGAAGTAAAGCTACGAGCAGTCTGGCTTATTTATGCTCTTTCATCTGCTGTTTTGTTGGAGTTTCAGTTTCAATTTTCAGTAAGCTAAACTAGGTGGACTACCTTGATGAAGAGCATTCGTTTAATCTTGAGTACGCCCTGTAAAATGAGTGGATCTGACAAACTTACAATCTAACAAGTAAAAGAAAAAAGGAAAAGAATTTTGATTGCATCTGACGATGCAGCCTGTCAAAGTGGTTTAGAATCTGTCCTTTCAGCTATATGTGCAGCACATATTTTCCATGATTTGACGGCTTTTTCTGGCTCCAGAGAAGAACACCTCATATTCACAGTTGATAATATCATCACTCAGATTGAGGATTAATTTTACATACATTAAATGGAAATCTGGGTATTGTGGATGAGAAAGGAGTAGAAGATGCTTTGAAAGAGATGGACCTCTTGGCTATCAACTCAAGTTCTGGTGGTTGAAATTTTTCTTTGCTGGTAAAAATATGAATCCTTAAATGGCGTAAAACAAATGTTAGATTTTCTTAGCTCTTTCCCGTAACTGGCAGTGTGGTTTTTAGACCTTTTGTGTATAATTTCTGCAATATTTCACGTCTGTGGTACTTATTATTAATAATATGATATACCCTTACCTATTATGGTTTTAGACCTTTTGTGTATAATTTCTGCACACATCTTTGGTGCTTCTTATTATTAATAATATGATATAAAAGAAAAACATTAAATAGAAATCCAATGAACTAGATTGCAATTGCATCATGTAGTAGTGTTAACAAAAATTTTCTGTTTGTCCTTTTTAATTTTTCTTTTCTTGTTATTGGCTTGATCATATGGTTATTTTATTTTACTTTCGGCGGAAGATTGTTTAAAGTTGTTACTGTTTTTATGTTCTTTTTGGGGTTACCAGGCAAGCCAAAGATGTGGTGAAAGGAATAAAAAGGCGTCTTGGTAGTAAGAATCCCAAAGTCCAACTTCTCGCTCTGACAGTAAGCTTCTAAAGCCGTCAAAATTGATGCTTTAATACTTCATTCATGTGGACTGTTAAGTCTCCACCTTTTGTTTTTCTTTTACTTTCTTTCTTTTGTGTAGTAGATGTTCATTCAGTCATTCACACAAATTTGTTAAATTTATGCTACCTCGTGTTAATTGTTTCATGTTCATTATTTTTTTTTCCTTTTCTCTTGTTAACCACATCTATTTATGTATGCTATATGATCTTTATTTTAAAAAACCCACATATACATTATCATGGACTACCCTTGAGGTGGAGTGGTGATATAATGCCACTATCCATCTCAAGAGCTTCTAATCAACTATTACCGTGTATTGCTAGTTTTGGTAAGGCTTTATCCGTGTCCCTGAAAATTCTCACTTTATTTGGTGGTTGCTACCTTATAGCTGTAGCCTTGATATGTACCTAGCCAAACATAAAATGAATTTGCAACTGGTAGAGAATGCTACACTTGTCTCTCATAGGTTGTCTACAAATTTCCACTGTCCTAAGGGGTTTGTAAAGATCCTGAGTTACTCCACTTATTGCCTTAAGGCGTTGAGTTGGATGTTTGGATTCTTTTACATGGTATTAAAGAGCAAAACTTTGGTGAGCTTGTTTCCACAACCGCTTTCTCTCTTTATTTTCTATTGCTCTAGGCTTCTCTTTCTCTCAGTTCAGCCCGTGGAGTTGCTCAAGATTTCTCTCTCAGTTCAACCCATTGAGCCACTAATATTACTCTAGGTCCACTCATTAACCTGTCAAGCCTGGTCTTTGCCTCGACTCTTGGCTCACTTCTATTGAACCTCCTCTCTCTCTCTCTCCCCCCC